AGTGTACATAGTTTTTGTTAAAGTATGAACTATTAATTTACAAAATTCTACCTGATAAAGGAAAGTAGTGGCGGTAAGTTATGCGTGACCGTCAGGGCACATACAAATGTAAAAAATGACTAACCTGCCTCAGAGCCCAAAAGCCACAAAACAAGGTGTCAAGCACACAAGAAAGGAGCACCTTTTTTTTTTAGCGAAAACCGCATGACCTTACAAAAATTTCAATCTCCCTCATGGCATTCAACGCTGCTGCTGGTTGCCACTTTTTGTTTCCGCTCGACAAATAATTTTCCACTTCATTTGCGCCCACATCCTTAAATGCGCGTTCCAATTCCTAAGGCTTTTGGCATGTTTGCGTCTATACATATATTAAGCTACCTGATTTTCTTGCCATTATTAGTTTCAAGTTCAGTTCTTCCGGCATTTTTTATGTGCGTGCTCGTATGAAGAATATGGCCTTTTTGATTTTGTGTTTGGCTATGACAGTTTATCGCTGGCATTTCGAAAACTCGTTTGGCTTCTTTCGTGAGCCAGCTCGTTTTTTAACGTATTACAACAACAATTCTTCTCTTTCATTTGACACAATATCCGTACATTGTTTGAAGGATATATGTAGGTTTGTATGTGCATTCCTGACCTGCCGGATGACCAAAGGTATTTTATATGTCATAATCCCATAGCCAAAGTGTGAACATTTTTTAGTTACATGCATATGTATGTATGTATATGTGTTGCCTTGTAGACTGTTAGCGGTTAGGTTGATTGTGGTGGTGGAAGCCGAAAGAATCTATATTATACCCTTGGTGACTGTCAATTTTTTGTGTTGGCGTCCAACAATAGAATTTTTAATAAATAATTCTGTTAATCACTTGGTAAATTCAATTAGTCACTGTTGGTCTGGGACTACTATCTCAAAGGCATGCGAGAGTGGTTTAATTGTCCGTAAACTAGTAGTAGTACAGAATTTGCAAGGAAAAGAAGGCAATAATCAAAATTTGTTTTTGTGAAAAAATACCTATGAATATCCCCTAGACCTACCTATTCGTTTCCACTGATTATTGTTACTTTGGAAGGAGTCATGAAATTCTTTTTAATATATCGGAATAGACTGAAATTGGGATATCAAGCAATAAATCCTGGCGATTTCATCTAAGATGCCCAAGTCATACCCTGGAAAGGGCTAAAACTAGAAATTTAAAAATCCAAAACCAAGTGTAAAATTTCTGATCCTATTCAAAAAATTTCCAATTTCAATACAAGCCTTTACACTGTAGAATTTTCCGTAAAGTTGCTTTCCACAAACTTCACATACCTATGAGAGCATTCAACCATTTTTGGCATGGCCAAGGTTAAAATAATGGCATACTCATTTTCAGGATTCTATTAAGCTGTTGGTATTTCCTTTCTCCTTCCAAAACTGCCGCAAAGTTGTAAAGCATTTATACACGCTCGACTGGCCGCGTAACGCCACAAAGGCTAGCTTTCTGTATGTGCATTTTTTTTTTTGAATAATTTGTATGTATGAATACGCGCGTGCCTGTAGGAAAATCGGTGGAGATTTGCCATTGCCTGCCGTATGGTTTGGTGGATGATATTTTTTTCTCTTCATTTATATATTTTAAATGATCCCAGTAACCCCAGAAATTCTAGATCGAATGATGGGTTGGTGCAAGAACTTCCAACATTCGCATCAGGGATGCAGGATAGCTTTGGCGTGCAATCCTTTATTTTTTGCATTTACATACATATGTACATCCGTATGTATGTACATACGTATGTTGAATGTGAAACGTGGTTTGCTAGAGTGCGGTTGCGACTGGTATTTACACCTGCACAACAATGATATATCTTCAATGTGTTTTATGCTGCATTAAGCATGAAAATCGCTCGGCAGATGGTGTGCGTTGCATTAAAAGAGAAGTGATGGAGAAGAGCTTTCGATTAAAGTATATAAAGATCTTAAAAACCTTAAAATTTAACAAGTAAAATAAAGCAGGAGCAATAACATAATTCTTATGGCGTTTTCTTTTCTACAAAAAAATTTTGCCTTTTCATTGCCCTCTTCTTAGTATTAGTTTTTAAGCGGATTAAATTGAAATCTAACATACATAGATTGAGATTATTAGTTTTTTTAGTCAAAGTTAAATGGCGACATTTCACAGCAACCTTTAGAAAAATATGATTATTTGGCGCTTTAAAAGTGGAGATATACACATGTATGTATATATTTATGTATGTATGTGTATTCATGCCATCATTACAAATTTAGTGAAAGTGCACAAAAATAATAAAGTAGGAACGCTTTTCACACCTGCTATACCATTTTAATATCGCATACATTTTAGGTGATGCAAACCATTACAATGAAATATGTACATATATGCCCTAGTAAACTAAAGAAGGACACAGTTTTTAAACTTTGATTCACATTAAAGTGAAAACATGCTAAGTCCAGTTTTTTTTTTTTTAATTTTGCAGGAGAAGAAAAAACTTCCCAAATTCATTTTCTTCAAATATTTTGCAAAACTTTCATTAGAAACATTTCAAAGCAAAAAAAACTAACTCCATACAAATCTCTACAAATTTGTATTCTTTTGAACGAATCGGATTTTCTGTGTATTTTGGGACTTAGTAAATTTTCATTTCACTGCATAGGAATGGGGTGGAATAAAACAGGTCGCTCTCTTTGGAAACGATGTATTTTTAATTTTCCTTACTTGCTGTATCAAAATGCAAGCTTTTATAAAAAGTCGACTTAGCAACTTTCCAATCTAAGCTAGCGATGTGTATGTAGTTCATATGTAAGCACAGTGGTGGCCACATAATTGGGGACACGGCTTTACAAGTTTCGACCATTTATTTTTAATTTACTTTTTTTATACAAAAATATAGTTTTTCGAAATCTTTTACAAGATTAATATAAATTCGCCAAATTTAAAAAAATGATCATCAAAATTTCAAGCTTTTTATTCAAAATTTCTAATGTTTTTTTTTACGGGGTTAAGAATTTTCTTCCATACAGAGTATGTTCGAAAATCGTTGTTTTATATGTTAGAAAATGAACAATACAGCCAGCTAAGAAGATTTTCAAAAATCAAAAAGATTTACGAGCTACATATGTACTTCTGACTAAAAGAGTTTGTAATTTTGATGACAATTTTTTGAAATTTGGGGGCTTTTTTTTTTAATTATATAAACTTTAGGTTTTCGTTGTACTATAAACTAAATTTTTGTAAGCAAATAGATAAGAAAAATAAATGGGCAAAATGACAAAAAGGTGTGTCCCTTAGTTTTGGCCACTACTGTATATCATAAAATGTGAAAAAGAAACACTCAAAGTGTAAAGTAAATAAAAAAAAATAAAAAATGAAAATAGCTTGTGGCATGAAATGAACTATTTTCAACGCATTTATTTTAAAAGACGCCACAAAAAGTGGGTTGCTGACTGTATTTTTTTTTTTGAATGGTTTCTAACATTTTTTAAAGGTTAATTACAACTGTATGACTTGGGAACTTAAGTTTATACAACACTGTATGTACATTAGGGCAAAGTAATTTGTTCGGAGGAAAACTTTCGAAGAAAGTAAATAGCTAATTCAAATTCTACGATTAATTCTAAATAAATGTGGCGAACAAACTATATACCAAAAATTACGTTTGACCCTCCCAATTTACAAGAGAAAAAGCAGTATGTATATTGTAACTTTTTTTGGTCGAAATTTATTTTTCATTGGACCAAAAACTGACATACATAATTTTCTATTTACTCGATTTTGTGAAGTATGTAGTTTCTTAAATATGAAGAAAACACAAACTTTTTTAAATGAAAAAATAATTTCGTTCGAAAAAATTATAATATGTGCACTGATTTTTCCTTAAAAATTCGGGAGGTCACACGTAATTTTTGGTATATACTTTGTTCACCATTTTTGCTTAGAATCGAACGTAGAACTCGAATTAGCTATACACTTTTTACTATTACTCCGCCCTAATGTACACAAATATATAAAAAATATATTTAAATTTTTTAGTGTCATATCTAACTTTTTAAACATATACATACATATATTTTTTTAATCTATGTTATCTAACCATCAAGATTTTGTGCAATAAACGAATGGGGCCGAACCTAAATCTTCAAGCGCGCAGAGTCCTTCATATCTAAGCTGGTACTTAAACTTGCAACCAGGTCTATGGGCGCTGCGGGATCAGGGTTTTATAGCGCCCCTCAACCTGGTTGTAACCTTAACTCATAGCCATCGGATCAGTACTCTTAGCCCTTCAGAGTTTACAACCGGAAAGTCTGTATTAAAAGTAAAAACTTAAGTCTAAGCTGAATGAATTGTTCTTGGCCGGGTATCCCGGGTCGATCTTGCAACATTTAACCGACCATCGTGATTGATCAAGATTTGTTGTTATTTATTGTTGCTGTATAACATCTTAAACTATTCGCTTAAATTTATGGGCAAATGTTATTGAAGTAGAGATCTTTGAGTGAATACATACATATGTATGTATGTCTAATTCGGATCGTAAGGAAAACGCTAACCCGCCGACTGTCGTAGAAAAGCTATAGATAGAGCAGTCACATTAGAAATGACCAGAATTGTACTAACAAAAAAGTGTATAGCCCACGGCGAATTCATATAAGGTGGTAGCGGTGGTACAAAAACAAAAGCTTACATGTATTTTGTTTTTGCTCTCGGTACACAAATGTCAAATTTTTTAGCTATTCTTCGCACTCATAAGGAGTTTTGACATATGTGTACCGAGGCGAATTAAAGCAGCTATTCTAGTGGTGCGAATTCGGCAAAAATATGAAAAATTTTAATGATTTCATTAACGGGAGTAGTAAATATTTTTTCAGACCTTTATAGTTTAGTAAATGTTTTGAAATTTTGGAAGTTGTTGCAGCCCAGACAATATGTCTACTATGTATTAAGTGCTCTTTTTACAAAAGATTTTTATAATAACCTCCTGTATTTTTATTTTCTTTATAGCCACTGAAATTCGTTGCCAGGAGAAATCGCGTGGTGGCCTCAGCTATGAAGTAATTTTAGCCGAACCAGCACCTAATGTCGTGGTGCCCAAACGGCCAGTGACACCTGGCAAAAATGTCTCAGCCGAGGAAATCGAACAAAAGCTGAAAGCTGCCGAGGAACGACGCATTGTAAGTGACATATTTGTAAAAAAAACAAAAAAAAACTTAAAATTACTATGACTTTTATTATTAACAGTCTTTGGAGCAAAAGAAAATGGCCGATTTATCCTATAAACTATCGAAAATTGAAGAAGCCACACGCAAAAAGGATGAAATTACCAATGAGTTTATTAATCAGACCAAGGAAAAGTTGGAGACTAAAATCGAGCAGCATGTTGAAAAGCGCGAGGCCATTATTAGCGACATGAAAGAGAAATTGAAGGTGAGCAAAAAAAGCCATTTGGGGTTATATTTCAATATAACGAAATATTCTATAATTATGCAGATTCACTCACAAGAAGTCGAGAAGACACGTGAACAGTTGGAACAACAAAAATCGATTGAGAAAGTGGCCATAGAGGAGAAATTGAAGACAGCTCAGACTTTGCGAGATGAGAACATTAAAAAGATGTTGGAGCGCCTCAAGGAGCATGTAAGAATATATTTTTGTAATTTTTCCTCTTTTAAACATCTGACAACTCATTTTTGTACTAACATTCACTCATCGCACTATCGCACCTACCACCATTCATAATCCATAATAAATTCGAAGAAAAAAATAACTACCTTTTGTGGTTCACTATACACTACATAATGTACAGAATTGTTTGTATATTTAGCATTGATATAAATAGCGTTTAGAAAATACAATTTTAATTTTGTATGCGGTTAGTTCACGTTACATACATACATTTGTACATAGTATTTATTATAACAACATCACCCTAATAAACTGAAATTGCACTTTGAGCTCAAAGCACTGGCATGTTGCTCTGAACTTGAATGACTCCCTCCACATACTAAACTTTTTCCGAAAACCATGCAATTCTGATTGATGCCAATAACAACAAACAACAAAAGATATATTAGCTTATGTGATTTACGCTATAAACAAACTATTCTATTTGCAACTAACTCTTTCCGCCCTTTCCATTTTTTTCGTTGCAATACTCCTACTAACCAATTTTTTTTTAGTTAAATTGGAAAGCATTAAATTAATAACATGTCTTGTTGCATTTCTGGATTAACTAACTGACTGACTGCATTTATATGTATTCATTATAGAACACAAACAAAAAAAATCATATCGACCAATTGGAAACACAAAAACTCGAGGAGAAGACCCGCATTATTGAAAATAAATTGTACACCGCTGAGCAAAATCGCGAAAAGGAGTTACAAAAGAAAATTGAAAAAGCTCAAAAACTTGTAGGTGTCGCCACTATCGTTTTCTAATTACTCGTAACACATACACACTGCTTGTACATTTAAAAAAAAAATTATTTTGTGCTGTAGCTTAGTTAACTTGTTAATTGGTTGAAAATTGTATAGCTTAAATTTTTTTATTCAATTAAGTTCACAAGATGTTTTATACTGTCGTATTGTTGTATGTTATAAAAATTAAAGTACGTACGTATTGTTCTATACATTTATTTAGCCGTTAAAAACTTTACGACATAAGACAATACGACACTTACGACCCCTTGTGAACCACCTAAATATTTAATTTTTCGTTTTGCTATTAATGTGCGTGTATGACTTGATTGTCATTTTCAATAGTGGCCTTATTTGCTATAAAAAAGTCTAGCTTTTTCAGGCATTTTAAGCTGGATTTACACGGGTCGTTTTCTGTCGAATAGAAAATCGATTAGCCAAACCACTTACATTTACGATTAAATTGTCATTTACATGTGTCGATTTTGGTTGAACGGCAAAAATCGATTAGAAAATTGATCTGTGCAAAGGCAGCTATAATACATAGTATTAAGAAATCATTAGGGGTATTCACGTAAATCTATAAATGAGCAATTTTTCGAAGCAGATACAGAATGTAATTTTTCAAATTTAATGTTAATAATGCCCGTAAGCGCTATGTATAAATATTGTACAACAGAAATACTCTAAAAAATTTTAATTTATGTATGCTCCACCGAAACAATAAATTAGCGCATTCGCTCCTGTTACCGTAGTTTTTTATGAAAATTTCCCCTACACCCGGAGGCTTATCTGACTTTTATGAGGGAGTTGGACTTAAAAGTATTATTGGGAAGAGTGTTGAGCACAATATATACCTAAGTTGCGGTGGATACTTCATATTAGTATCTTTCTACATATCCTTTATCGAATTTTACGATTAAATAATAACATTTATAAAAGAAATTATAACCATTACGGTATCTGATTGAAATTGCTGCAGATGCTTTCCATTTCCAGACAACCGGTCAGGTACGAGCATGATTTTTAATTTCGACCAAACTCAAATACATTGTTTGTTGGTCCAAATAATGAGACACGTATTTTTCCTTTTGGCTCGGAAACATTTTTCGGCCGAATTAAACGCGATTTTGTTTTTCAGACAAAAATCGATTATTCGAATTGACAGTGAGATTTTTTTTTTTTAAATGCCCATAACTTTGTCAAAATTTAATAGATTCCAACAATGTTTTTACTCAACTGTCAGTAATTCTAGTCACTTCAAGATATAATGATATAATGGGTAGGTTCAGAAGGTGCAGAAGTTGAGCGCAACCGTTGCTAAAAAAATCAATGATCGTAATGCGTCTTCTGAACGGCTTGATACATTAGCTGTCAAATTCAAAACACACAACACGTTGTCTCAAATGATCAGAAAAATATTACGATCATCTAACACGCAACTGTTCAGTTGATCAGAAGTACAAAACAACGCGTTCAGAAGGTGCAATCGCAACAGTTACTGAGCTGTTGCGCCTTCTGAACGTGCCCAATTATTGATTTTCATTATTTAAAATTTTTTACTTAACAATAAACAAAAAGTGCAAATTTTTTTTTAAATTTAATTTCTCAAAAAGTGTATTTTTTTTTCTCTCAAACTTTTTTACCGGGAAAGAGACACTTTGAACTACAATCAACCCAAATCTCTAATAGCGAAGATTTTTTTTTTCTGAGTTATGATTTTTTATAGAAAATATACGTTTTTGTGGTACATACTACAATATTCTTATATTGTTTAACTAAATGGAACATATGTATGTAATACATCAGCAAAAAATACAGCCGTGATCATTTTTTGTGTATCAAATAGATATTAGAACACACTTTCCACCATACAGTTTCGAGATACAAAATCACATTTTCCCGCTTTTTATAATCGAAACTGTATGGTGGAAAGTGTGTTCTAATATCTATTTGATACACAAAAAATGATCACGGCTGTACTTTTTGCTGATATATTACATACATATGTTCCATTTAGTTAAACAATATAAGAATATTGTAGTATGTACCACAAAATCGTATATTTTCTATAAAAAATCATAACTCAAGAAAAAACCTTTTGTTTGTTGTTAAATAAACAGTTGTAAATAATGAAAATCAATAATTATATCATTCTATCTTGAAGTGA